GTGCGTGAGTGTGTGTGCATGTGTGTGTGTGTGTGTCAGTGAGAGAGTGTGTGAGTGTGTGTGTGTGTGTGTGAGTGAGAGAGAGTGTGTGTGTGTGTGTGTGTGTGTGTGAGTGAGAGAGAGTGTGCGTGTGCATGTGTGTGTGTGAGTGAGAGAGAGTGTGCGTGTGTGTGAGTGTGTGTGTGAGAGCGTGTGTGTGAGAGCGTGTGTGTGTGAGTGTGTGTGTGTGTGTGTGAGTGAGTGAGTGAGTGAATGAGTGCATGTGTGTATCTGTGTGTGAGTGTATGTGTGTGTGTCAGTGTGTGTGTGTGGGTGTATGTGCTGTGTGCGTGAGTGTGTGTGCATGTGTGTGTGTGTGTGTCAGTGAGAGAGTGTGTGAGTGTGTGTGTGTGTCAGTGAGAGAGTGTGTGAGTGTGTGTGTGTGTGAGTGAGAGAGAGTGTGTGAGTGTGTGCGTGTGTGTGAGAGTGTGTGTGTGTGCGTGTACGTGTGTGTGTGCGTGTACATGTGTGTGTGCGTGTGTGTTTGTGTGTGAGCCCATACTCCAGTGAGAGGCCGTGTTGCTGTTAACTTGTATCCGTTTCCAATCCCAGCTCCCGACACGAAGTATCCGAGCGGTTTTCGGGATGTTCTTCGCGAGTTGATCCGTGAGGAGGGATTCACCTCCCTCTACAAGGGTTTCACGGCTGTTATGTTACGTGCGTTTCCCGCCAATGCGGTAAGATATCCCTGTTCCCACTTCTTCACCCTCCCAGTTCATAAATAATTTGGATGTGAATGTAGGAGGGATGGTTAGTAAGTTTGCGGATGGCACCAACATTGGGGGTGTAGGGGACAGCGAAGGGGGTTACCTCAGAGTACAACAGGACCTCGATCAGATGGGCCGAGGAGGGGCAGTTGGAGTTTAATTTAGATAAACGTGAGGTGCATGATTTTGGGAAAGGCAAAACTTAATGGTAAGGTCCTGGGGAGTGTTGCTGAACAGGGAGACCTTGCGGTGCAGGTACAAAGTTCCTTGAAAGTGGAGTCGCAGGTAGGCAGGGCGGTGAGGGAGGGGTTTGGGACGCTTGCCTTTATTGGTCAGTGCATTGAGCGTTGGAATTGCATTGGTGAGGCCACTTGTGGAATACTGCGTTCAATCCCGGTCTCCCTGCTACAGGAAGGATGTTGTGAGACTTGAAAGGGTTCAGAAAAGATTTACAAGGATGTTGGAGGGTTTGAGCAACAGGGAGAGGCTGGGGGCTATTTTCCCCGGAGCGTCGGAGGCTGAGGGGGTGACCTTATAGAGGTTTGTAAAATCATGAGGGGCATGGATAGGATGAATAGACAAGGTCTTTTCCCCAGGGTAGGGGAGTCCAAAACTTGAGGGGCATAAGGTGAGCCGGGGAAAGGGACCTGAGGGGCAACTTTTTCACGCAGAGGGTGGTGCGTGTATGGAACGAGCTGCCAGAGGAAGTGGGTGGGGGCGGTACAATGACAATATTTAAAAGGCATCTGGATGGGGACGTGGGTTTAGAGGGATAAGGGCCAAATGGGACTGGATTAATTTAGGATATCTGGGTCGGCACGGACGGGTTGGGCCGAAGGGTCTGTTTCCGTCCCCTCCGACTCCAATTCCTCACTCTGCCCAATCCCGTCGTAAATGATGTTACTGACAGATAGAGTCCCACATTGCCTCCCGCCTCCTTCAAACCCTTCAGGACATTTTGCCAGAATGCCAAAGCGGGAATGGCGCGGATGACAGTGAACCGCCTGCGCACATCTCAAATCAAACCGGGCCGCTTGGAGCGGGGAACGGCCGGCGCCGTTTTGCGTTCGGGCTCCCCCGCGTGACCAGGCGGCGGTGAACTGTCGGTCGTCAGGTCGCCGGTCCGTTCGTCACCGCCTGCCAGAATCCACTCACCCACCAGTTGGAACATCCCCTCCTGTGAGCGTAGAAGAGTAGGCATCGATCGCGAGCCGACACACCCTGAAAGGGAACAGACGGGCTCTGTGAGTGGGCTAGAATGTGGCAGAGGAGAAAAATATCGCAAGAGGAATAGAAAGACAGTAGCTTTAAGCGACAGAGAGAGAGTGCGGGACGCTACAGCAGAGACAGCGAGTGACGAAGGAGGCGAACGGAATTGGCTTCTGGGAGGATAGGATAACCTGTGGAACTCCCCTTTCCCCCGAGAGCAGCGGGGGGCCCGCATCAGCAATGACACTCGAGGCTGGGTTGGAGAGATCTTTCTTAGATGAGGAGGGAGCGGAGAGTTAGGGGGCAGGGACGGAGACCGGGATGCGCCGGGGGGAGGCTTAATGGTCCCGCAGACTGCCCCCCACCCCAAACCTGGGGACATCTATTTGCATCGAGGCACACAACCGCAAGAGAGACAGAGAGAGAGAGGCAGTTAACTGTCAGTCATCAGGTGCAAAATCTAACCGAGATCCTTGAATCTGTCAGGCCTGTTTCCTCGGCTTCGAATTGGGCATGAGGTTCATCGACTGGATCTGTGCGGAGCGGGACTGATGCCCTGGAGATGGTGGGGCGGGGGGGGGAAACGTATTCCCCTCTGCCCCCTCCAAACCCCCCCCCTCCCTCCGACCCGAGGACGAACGTATTCCTCTCTGCCCCCTCCAACCCCTCCACCCCCGACCCAAGGACGAACGCGGCCAACATTCGGCGCTCCTCAATCGTTGACATCCCACGGCGAGGGGTGAAGCCTCATGCTGCCTGGACCGGGGTTGGGGGGAGCAGGATCGAATCCCAGCAGCGCCTCGGAGGGAACGATCCACTCGAGGGTCCGCTAACGTTTTTAACTCAACTGAGCCATGGGGAGGGGGAGAACCGTAGTCCGTGCCCAGTCTTGGCCTACACGTGACTCCAAACCCTCTCCCGCTGAACTTGGGGTCCCTGCATCTCTCTCAGGCAGCCCTTGGAAATGGCCAACAGCGTGATTGAACTGGAGGGGTGGCTCAAGGAGGGGGCAAAAAAAAATACCGGCCCGGCTGTGACTCGGGAATAAAATGAAAATAAAAGCGTGGGTTCAATTGTCTCATTCGCTGGTTAACCGCACTGTCGGAGGGTCGGCGCCGAGGGAGCGGGCGCTGTCGGAGGGTCAGCGCCGAGGGATGAGGCGCTGTCAGAGAGTCAGTGCCGAGGGATGGGGCACCGTCAGAGGGTCAGCGCCGAGGGATGGGGCGCCGTCAGATGGTCGGCGCCGAGGGATGGGGCACCGTCAGTGGGTCGGCGCCAAGGGATGGGGCGCCGTCAGAGGGTCGGCGCCAAGGGATGGGGCGCCGTCAGAGGGTCGGCGCCAAGGGATGGGGCGCCG